CTTTTTTAATGCGCATGCGCGACCCTCTGGCAAGTGTCATGCACATTTTTTATCAGGAAAAAGATAGGGAAATGCAAAATTTTGGCAGTAAAACGGCGATTTTAAGCGCAGTAACCGATCAATCTTCATTTTGTGCACGAATTTTGCAAATAAATGGCACATCACGTCTTCTTAGCGAAAGGGAATTGAACGAATACCATTTTTAACGGCGAAAATGAGAAAAGACACCCGAAGGAGTGAGAATTTCTGGCAATCTGAAGATTCGATTCTGTAGACCTGAACTCCAGCTGGAACTTGGCAACTTTATATGTGAGTTTTTTTTCTCTAGCTCATATATATGAAATTATAAATATATTTTTGTGAAGTGCTATGTTGTATGAAAGGGTTGTCGTTAATTTAAACATTGCATAAACAGCATTCAGATACGAAAAATATGAACATCAACATTCAACATGGACTGATGGACTTGGGCACAGTACTCTAAAGTACTCGTATAGACTTTATTTAACTTATATGTTGACCCAATGATGGGGGATTGGTCAAATTATACTTTATAGTGATTCCCCTAGATTAGTGCATTGGTTATTGACAGTGCACTGACAACCTTTTTTTGGCTCTCAAAGATCAATTTCTCAGACATGCCAAGTCACTGTACATGTTTAATAAAAATCTAATCTGTTTATTTATTTTATTTTTTATTTTGCTTTTCTAGATTGCCAATCATTCCTGTTGAACTACATTATTCATTACAATGAATCAGATGCAGAATCTTACAACTATGTTAATTTGTTCGCCTGATTGGGGAAAACCCAAGACTATTTGATCGTATATTGGAATGCCTACCAATTTTACATAGCCTCAGGCAATGTTTATATAATTAATCTTGAGTAATAGAGATGCTGTACCCCCCGACGGTGTGACCTTGCTACCTGGATCATCCCACTAGGCAAGACAAGTTCAAAACTTTCCATGCAAACACTTTCATGGCAGTTAATTGCTATAATAGGATATGAATATAATTTTGCCTTGCCATGGTGGCTCGGGGGGGAGGGGGATTTCCCTAGTACCCGGAGACCATATAAACAGGCCTTCAGATTACTGTAATAGTTTAATTGAGGTTCAAAAAAGCAGCCCCCCCCCCCCAATGCAACTAAAAGTGGTAGGCCTGCTCTCCAAATCCAGCCCCCCTTGGAAGATGTACTGTAAAGCTAGACAATTTTACTTGTTAGTTACCCAACTTGGTGCCCTGATGCACCCTACTTTATTATTTTACTCTGTCTAACAGCAGACAATTTTACTCATCAAGGGGTGGGCACATGACTTTAAAGGGAAAGTATTAATTGGGAATACTTTCTCTTTTAATGGGAAACTCTTTATCAATAAAAGGAACAATGCAATTATTCATAGTATTTAACTTTTCATATAAAGCAGAGACTGTAAGAGGAAACATGGATCATTGGCTACTTTTTTTATTTAGTATTAATTTTCATGACATGTGGGGTCAACTATAAAGGAAACAGTTATTGCCTATTTTGGAATAAAAAATTTAGAATATAGCAATATTCATTGACATTGAACACATATTTATTTAGTTTTTGAATAATTTAAGTTCTTAAATGTGTATAAATGTGAAATAAAATAAACATTTATTAAAATAAACTTTGTATTTTTTAAACTCCAATTACACTGTTGTATCTACATTTCATTGTAGTATTTACACTGTAGTATTTACATTTCAAGACCTTAACCAACATCATTCCTTGGAGTTTCTCATGACAAGATGTCTCAACCAGGATCCTCTGGAGAACTTCTTTGGCTTCATTAGGCAGCATGGAGGGGGGAGGGGGGGGGGATTGTGACAACCCATTAGTCCCATCCAGTTCACCAGAGCATTTTGCATATTATTTGTAGATAACATTTTGACACCACTTTCAATTGGCAGCTGTGCTGAAGATTCTGATGCCTATTTGATTGCATTTCACCTTAGCCAATCTGATTTATCTGCAGGGAATGATTAGACAAGCCCACCACTAATCCAAGCAGTTGAAGATACCGACTACAAAACAAATGAAATTGAACAAAACTTAGTCTGCATGAACTTATGTGTTGGGCTATTTATTAAGGAAGTGCCTTATCCAACATAGCTGTCCAATATGCCATCATAATTTTGTGACAAAGGATGTCAATGACAGTAGTCTCTGCTATTCTGCATGTTCAAGACCTCTGACCTTTGAAGGCATAAGCATGCCTTCAAATGCGGAATAACAATCCGTAAAGAAACGTTTCTTTGCTGGAGAATACATTTGTGAATGTGGTTATTTATAGTTGCACAGAAAGTATTAAAAACATAGGTAGTTTTGCTCACAAATCCCAAAGCTACATGCATGGAACCTGATGGACGTGTTTCAAATAAGCACCTATGCTTTCTTATTAATAATGTAAAAGACAGGAAAGCAATACGTTTGGCCCGCATTAATTTTATAGCGAAATTAGGGAAATGAGAATCTGCTTCTTGGCAGAACATCACAAGCACCGAGATTGTATATTGTATTATACTATTTTTTCTTTGTATTTAGCCTATAAACGTATATCTTTTTACATAAAAATAACCACTTACCATTTATCTTTCAAATTTGAGTCCCAAAATGAAGATCGGTCGAGCAACTTCGCAAAAATATTTATTTTTCTACTTTCGAACGGTGTTTTTCCTATGCTTTTGACTGAAAACACGACGAATGACACTTGCCAGAGCAATTTGCGTGGCGCGTGGAAATGACGTGGCACGGGGACACAAAGAACAAAGGAATCGCCGCGAGTTCCGCCTCTGTATACTCTGTGCCAGGGGGGAGTGAAAACTGTGGCGGGCTCATAATTGAGCCTTGTTCAGTGGCAATTACCATGAATTTAGGGACCAGTAGTCATGGAAATGGCGTCATTTTTCATCAAAATCCGCCATTTTTTTGGCGACACTTCGTCAGTGAGCTCCATATATATCTGGAGTAGGAACTTGGTTGCTCAAAGTGAAGCCAGTTTCGTGTTAACCGCGCATACAAAAACAATAGAAAGGGACTGGAACTGACGTCCAACAGCTCCTTCAATTTCCGCCATCTTGGCAAGGAGTGTGTTGAAATTTCGTATTTTGACTTCGATTTAAAGAATAATATTGTGATTTTATGAACTGAAAACTTGATTAGTGATATGGTCCATTAAAAAAAACTGGAATTAGCTGGGGAAAATGGTATAAAAACTGTTTACGACCTTCTGAGCTATTGGACGTCAATGGCCGCCATCTTGGTTTCACTTGGCTTCACTTTTCTCATTGACCGAATGACTGAGTTCTTACTCCAGATATATATGGAGCTCACTGCACTTCGTTGACTGAACGAAGTATAGGAGCAGGTCCTCCAGTTATTATACAGCTCAGTGGATTTTACTACATCCTGGAGACGTTGAGAAATTTATTATTATGAACATAAAACATTTCCTTTAAAACTGACCTGACTTTACTGTATCAATGGCCGAAAAAAGTACTAGTTTGAACTTTTGAAGGAGTTCTGGAGGTACTTTCCAAAGTTTCCTTTATGATATGGCGTGTTTTACGATTGATAAAATATATCGACATGGACACATGGTTGGTTCAAATGATTGGAACATGGTTGGGAATTGCTGTTGGGAATTGCTGTTGGCGGGAAGTGGCGGGAAGTATGTGAACTTGTGTATTTTTATTATAAAACCTCGATCTCGTACGGATTCAGTCTTTTTTAATGGAAAAAGGTGCCTGTCTTAACATGTAGTCCCCCCCCCCGAACTCACGTTGCTTCCTACGTCCCTGAATCCTTGTGCTTAATATTTCACAACCAAGTCCATAAAATGAAACATTTATGAACTGTTTAATACTGTCATTTAATAAATTATGTTGAAAGACTTTGATGACAGCCTATGAAGTCGTTGGACTGGCTAATCACTGTCATGAAACTTATGATAATGCAAACAAACATTTACTTCTACAAATATTAATGCATGACCTTGATGGAAGTTGGCATGGACTGTATGAGTATAATAAAAAATTTCACTAATATTTCTAGGACCTTAAAGTCAACAATAATATGGTTAGGGGTGCAGCGGAACTCGGTTCCAGATGGGTGTAGATAAAAGGCGGACGGATAAAAAGCGGACGGCGGACGACGGAGCATTTTAGATACACATGATTACTACGGCAACTAATTATAATACCCTAAATTAAAGTATACCAGCCTTAGATCTGTGAAATGGATATGTTTTCACCCGTTCGAATTTTTAGCAATGGAATTTTTTAATCAGCATTCAATACGTATATATGATAGGAGGCTGTTCGCCATCTTTCGCGTTAAACTTTTGGAAATTTTGGTGCTTCTGTATATAACTGCCCTAACACTGCCATTGAATTAAAATATTATTAGGCGGGGCTATTACATGACATTCACTTGCTGTCATTTTTATACTTTAAATTGTGCGACTTATAATCCTGTTTTATTTACTAAAAGGCTAACACGTAGCCAAGGTCCATTCATGTGTGTGCTTACACATTACTATTTCACTGTATATAAATGTAGAACGAAATTATAACCTTCCCCAAGCCCTTCAAATATACATATAATAGAATATACAATATTTACGCTGCCCAACTTACATTGCCCAAGCTGCCCAAATATATATATATATATATTATAACATATCATATTTACTTGAATATGTCAGGAAAATATCAATAACTCAATATAGTTAAAGAAATGACAAAAATATACAATTGTAAATATATACAATTGTGAATGTTTGCATGTCCAAACTTTATAAAAAATTCTCTTAAATTACGACCCATAGCCTATACTCAATACCTACTACCTATATGTGCCCATGAAATAAAAAAAATGTTCAAGAGCCTTGAACGGCAGAAAAATATCGAACAGCATTGAGAGGTTTAAAAAGTTATTATTGAAAATCCACCTCATCAAATTGTCCGCCCCTAATGCATATTATTATATGGCTTTTCAAAATTCTCTATTCTGATTGGTTGACAAGCGTTCCGTAAAAACCCATATCCGGACCGTGGTCCGTATTTTCCGTATGTGGACCGGTGTCCCGGATGTCGTTTATCTGGCGGGAAATTTTTGCTTTGCAAACAGAAAAAATTTTTACTTTTTAAATTTCCAATTGTGCTTTACAGATAAAAATTTCAAATAACCAAATTGTTTTTGATTGAGCAAGCATGCCTACGGTATATTGTTACCCAGTGAAACTGACGATAGCCGATTTAATTCGCGCAAAAAGCATATGCTTACAGACTCAGTTCAGCCATATAATAAACCGATTATTGACCTCGCTTGTTCGGTCTACACTGTGATCCATACCATACCATACTACATATCATACAAAACTGTACTACATACCATAAAAAACCTCGGTCTGATATTTCACACCTCACGCTCGGTCAATAACCTTTAATATTTCTAAAATTCATACATAGTATAGTTGTCGCATGCAAATCGGCCATTTCTTCGTGTGAACCTCTTAGGTTTGTAATTAAAACGAGGATTATTTTCATTATAAAACAACAAGTCAGCACTATTTAAAGTACGAAAATGTCAGCAAGTGAAAATGTCATTTAACTCTGCCTAACAGAAGCTCCAAAACTAAGGCGCTTTTTTACAATATTTCCAAACGTTTCCCGAGAAAGACGCCGTATAGCCATCATACATACGTACTGAATCATTTGAATGCTGATTAAAAAATTCCATTGCTAAAAATTCGAACGGGTGAAAACATATCCATTTCACAGATCTAAGGCTGGTATACTTTGATTTAGGGTATTATAATTAGTTGCCGTAGTAATCATGTGTATCTAAAATGCTCCGCGGTCCGTCGTCCGCCATCCGTCGTCCGCTTTTTATCCGTCCGCCTTTTATCTACACCCGTTCCGGACGGTTAGTTCTGGCTGTAGACTTGGATCAAGTCCATCTCTAGAGAGACGGACTTGATCCAAGTCTATTCTGGCTGGAACCCCAATTTTTTAGAGTTCCGGTTCTGGCTGGAAGTAATATAAATAGCATGACTGGAACCGGAACTCAGTCGTTTTCTGAGAGATAGAATATTGAACGTTTTCGTGTCCAGCGGCGTAGTGCTCATTGGGTAGGGTTAGTTAAAAAACTAAGGGCCCCCGACAGTTAGTGGCCCCATCACCCACGGCCCATCGCCCAGAAAATTAGAAAATGCAAAAAATGCAGGTTAAGAATCAATGGGAAAATGCAAATTAAATTAATATAAATGCTAAATAATAAAGCCTCCATCGACAACGGTAGCTGATTTTTCAATTCCATCTCAAATAAAACAAATGTTATTCTTATTAGTTGTTACTGTACATGTGTTGGAGACTGTTATTGTTATAGACATGGAATTTTCCAGAACATTATATATATATTCAATATAAATATAATATCTCTGTCATTGAACAATGACAACAGGGGCCCCCACACCAAATATGCCTAAGGGCCCCCTGTTCCTCCGTTACGCCACTGTTCGTGTCTAACTAAAGGTCACAAGAAATTTGGACTATACACAAGGGAAATGTACACTATTAACACTTCATTATGACGTTTAACGTTTGTCAATCTTTTTATTCTAACATTTGCGAGCTCTCTCCTTGATGACTTGAAGCAGTGGTGGATTTAGGGGGGGGGGGTGTGCAAAAATGACATTTATCCTAATTCTAACCCACTTATGTTAAGGAATTCAGTTGGGTATCACTAGTTGACAATAGCGGAATAGCCAATATTAAATATTCTGAATTTTTAAATGTTTTGAGAATCTAAAAATTTTCCAGAATGTTTTCTCAGAATGCTGGAAATGCCATTTCAGAGATCCAAACTTTAAAAATTTTCCGGGTTGAGTATGCCCCCGGAGCCCCATAGAAATCTCGCACCTTCGGCGCTCGTTTCGCCATTGGTTAGCACCCCCCCCCCCCTGGATCCACCACTGA